AGCTGCAGGCGCGCCTGGCCGCGCTGGGCCGCCAGGTGGGCGCCCGCGTCCTGGACGCGCTGGTGGCTCGAGAAAAGGGTGCCCGGCGCGAAACCAAGGTGCTGGGCGCGCTGCTGTTCGTTAAGGGCGCCGTGTGGAAGGCGCTCTTCGGCAAGGAGGCCGACAAGCTGGAGCAGGCCAACGACGACGCGCGCACCTTCTACATCATCGAGCGGGAGCCGCTCATCAACACCTACATCTCGGTGCCCAAGGAGAACAGCACGCTCAACTGCGCCAGCTTCACGGCGGGCATCGTGGAGGCGGTGCTCACGCACAGCGGCTTCCCCGCCAAGGTCACGGCGCACTGGCACAAGGGCACTACGCTCATGATCAAGTTCGAGGAGGCGGTCATCGCCCGAGACCGGGCCCTGGAGGGCCGCTGACCCCGCGGAGATAAAGGATGCTGAGCCGCCTTCCCGAGTGTGTCTTGTGTCTTGTGTGGGGGCCTCGGAGAGCCACTCAGCGCCTTGCCCCAGGCCGATGTCTCAGGCTGGTAATGGAGGCCAAGGCCAAGCATGTTAATAACAGAGTAGGGAGGTGGGGGTGGGGAGGTGGGGGGGCGGATCTGACTCAGCTTGGGGACTGGGGGAGGCCCAGGGCTTGTCAAGATAAATCTGGCTCAAGGGGCTGCTGGAGTGGGGAGAACGCTGGCACTTCCTGGTGTCACAATTGGAGGCCATCCAAAGGCTGAAGTTGGTTGAGGGGGAGCGGCAGAGGTGGGTGGCCAGGAGCTGGGTATCCTGGTGGAGGGATCAAGCTAAGGGAGATGCCCTGAGACCTGGGGCTGGTGCACTTTTTCTGTAAAGGACCAGACAGTGGATGGTTTACACCCAGCAGTCTGTCTGACTGCTCTGTAGACAGCTGTAGGTTAAGGGACGGGTGTGGCTGTGTATCTAGAAAACAGGCAGAGAGTGGTTGTTTGTCAACTTTTTTTTTTGGGCACTTGTTAACTCAAAGTGTGGTCCAAGACCTCAGCATCCACATCCCCCGGAGGTTGTCAGAAATGAAGACCCTCAGGCCCACCCTAGGCTACCCACTCAGAGTCTGCCTTTACCAAGGTCCCCAGGACTTTCCTATGTGTCTGAGAAGCAGGTTTCAAGGGCATAGACTGTGTGCAGACTGGGGTGGCTGCCCCCCCCCGACCCTACTCCAGAGTTTCAGATTCTGCAGATCCGGGTGTGCCGGGGATTTGCATTTCTCACAAGTTCCTAGGAACTGCTGGGACTCCCCTGGCCACACTTTGAGAACCTAGCCTGAGGCACCTGGTTCTCAAGGGGAAATGAGTGGGCTCACTGCAGAATCATCTGGGTGCCTAAAATAACTTGAAGTTAATTGCTAAACAGGCGATCAACCGGCGAACTTGTTTCTTGTTTTTAAAAAAAAATAGAAGGTAAAAAATTACATTTCAGGCAAACCTTGCCCTTTTCCCCACCACCCTTGGTCCCTGGGCACTCCTCCCTCTCAAGGGAAGCCCTTCAGGACTTTTGCCTGGCAAACTTCTGCCAGTCCTCCCTGTCCCCACCCCCTAGGACCTGAGTAAGTCTTTTGAAAAGGAACCTCAGGTGCTTTTGGCTGGGTCCACCTCACTGCTAATGGGAAGGGCTTAAGGGTGGGGTGGGTGCAGCTTTTCAGCTCTCTGGAAGGCAGCCTGAGATGGGAAGGCAGGGGACACCAGGCTTGGTCGAGGGCAGTTTCATCCCAGCAGCTGATGGTCAGAACAAACCTCAGCGCATCGCAAAGGAGTCGTGCGTGTCAACTGGATAAATAAACTACGGAGCTCGAGCGTGGAGACGATCAGGAAACGGCTGATCCATCCACAGGCCAGGCAGTGAAGGATGCCAGAGAAATAGGGCAGGAGGGGAGGGGACACGGCTGGACCCCAAGGGAGGGGATGCGGGGGTCCCTTGGGATGCGAGCTGGGAGAGGAGGGCCCAGGGTCTGCTGCTGTCCGCAGAGGGTGAGGAGGGACTTGTGGAGAAGGGAGAAGGTTTGGAACAAACCATAGGATTGTGGGGCCAGGGGGTTCAGAGAGAGGCTCCCATCACAGCGGCTCTGACTTAGGATGCTGGGGACCGAAGCCCCCAGACGGGTGGGGGGCAGTGAGGAGGACGCACCCAGCACTGGCCCGTGGGGAATGAGGCAGGCAGCCTCCCTTGATTCACAAGCCCCGAAAGAAAGTCACATGTTAAGGCAACAAATATTTATTGAGCACCTCCTGTGTGCCAGGCTCTGGGGATACAGCTGAGAACAAAACAAAGGCCCTTGCCCTCCTGAAACAAACAGATGAAGTAGATCACACATTCTGCTGAGAGAAGGGGGCCGCGATGAAAGTACAGGGGGGTAAAAGGGATGGGGTGTCAGGAGGTGTCATTTTAAGTGGGACGGAGGGGAGCTGAGGACAGGCTTCACTGAGGAGCTGGAGGCAGCAGCATGTGCAAAGGCCCTGAGGTGGCAGTGAGCCTAAATGTTGAAGAAACGGTGAGGCTGGGGTTGGAGGAGGTCGGGTGCGTGGAGGGGTTCTGCCATCACAAAGGACCCTGGCGAACTTTGTCTTTCTCTGAGCTGGGAAGACACTTCTGGGAAGTTTGGGGCAGTGAAGAGGGAGGCCAGGCTGATTGAAGATGGGGCTACACCAAGGCCGTGGCAAGAGCGAGTAAGAAGTGGCTTGACTTCCTGAGCCCATGGCCTTTTCTTACGGGTTTGGAGGTGGGGTGGTGAGAGAAAGACGTGGCGAGGGTGACCCCGTGCTGGCCTGAGTAACTAGGAGGCTGGGGCGGGAGTTTCTGCAAGGAGAGCCGGGGTGGGCAGCTGTGCACTGGCCTGGAGTTCTGAGTAGATCTGGGGGAGACAAATCTGGGGGTGGGTGATGGGGAGAGATAACAGGTCACTGGGGGTTCCAGCCCATGTTTCACTCCAAGGGGCCAGCTCTGTCCCCGCCCCATCCTGAACCCCAGGGTGTTCTCCCCAGCACCCCCTCCACATGGCTGGGGCTTGGCTTGGCCTGGCCCTTGACTCCCAGGTCCTAGGTGATCCAGTGTGAGTCTCTCTTCATGAGTTCCTCTTTCTCGAGTGGGCCCAAGAATCACGTGAGCACGTCCACCTCTTCCTTTTCTGGCGAGGAACTGGGGGTGGGGTGGGCAGTGAGGCGCTTAACCACGGGTAGCCTGAGATCCGGGTCTGCCTCCTACGGACTCCCAGAGGTGGGGGGCGGACCTGGGCCAAGCCTGGGGCTGGTGCTGTCTGAGTAGGGACGGGGCCAGCACCTCAGGATCTGAACTGGCCGCCAGGTGATCTGGCCACCTCTCCACCAGCCTCTCCAGCCATCCCGCTTCTGGGCTGGGAACTAGGTTCAGGTGGTCCACTGTCCTGCCCAACTATATTCCTGGGGGTCTAGGGGTACTCTTTGCTCCACTGAACCCCATTCTTCATCTCTGGGCCCTGCTGAGTAAATGCTTATAATAAAGTAGGGGGGGGAAAGTGGGGACGTATGAACGCTACTTCAGTTCCGCATACTCAGAGGTGTCCTCAGGCACCAGGAACTCCCAGCTCCCACGTTGCACACCTGGAGACTAGAGCCAGTGAGGCCCCGAGGAGGGGCCAGTCCAAGGGGCCATCATCACCTCATGTTATTGATGTAGGGCGGGCAGGGAGGACAGGTTGGCTGAGCTGGGGGTCTCTGTCCTTTGCTGCAGGACACACGTGCTGCATCAGGAGATGGCGAGGTGGAGGTGGAGGAAGAACGCAGGAGTCTGAAGTTTCCTGTGCAGCTCCCTGCAGGGCTGGGCTGCCAGGCACTGTGCCCCAGTGGGGAGGGGGCTTCTAACCTCTAGGCTTGCGGGTAGGGATTCTCAAAGTGGGAACTCCAGGCACTCGAGGGCAGGAAAGGGGTGATGGCTGCTGGGCTGAGGAGCAAGGGACAAGCCCTCTGGAGTGTTGGCCAGAATCGGGGATGATAGTCAGCTGCTTCTGCTGGGTCGGGAGGAGATGTCATCTGGACTCTTCAGCCACAAAAAGGGGCGTCCAGGCCTTGGTTGGGGTCCTCAGTATCACACGGTGGGCTAGGCTGTTCCCATATTTGAAGTGGGGGAGGGGTGCACCTGGCGAGCAGGCAGGGGGCTGTCGGGGTCCACATCTTGGGGCACCTCCCAGGGGACCCAGGGCCGAGGGGGCAGAGCAGGCGGGAGCTCAGCATGCGGCCAGCCGGTCGCACACCCAGCCGTCCAGCCGGTTGTTGCAGAAGGCATCGTTCCACTTCCCGGAGGCCTGCATCATCACGCAGTTCTCGCCCTGACCCGCGTCGTTGGGCTCCCCCGGCTGCCAGTTGCTGAAAGAGAAGGATTCGGGGTCGGAAGGTGGGGGAGAGGGAGGGCTCCCACTGCCTTCACCCTCGACCCATCCCTCCAAGTCTGGGCCCTCCTCACACCATCCCTGGATTCCCACTCCAACTCCCTGCATCCTGGAGACACCCTCATCCCCTTCTTCTCCCCTTAGTCTGGACCTGCCTCCAAACCCTGACCATCTGCCTCGGCCCTGAGTCTCCTGGGATGTGCCCTGAGATGTGGACCCTGACAGCCCCTGCCCCCTCTGCACCACTCCCCGACCTCAGCTGCAGTCCAGAAGCTTCCCATGGGCCTGGGGCACATGCCCTCCAAATACCCTCTCCTCTCATCCCAGAAAGGCCCCCCTCCCCCCTCCTCACCTATAGTTCAGGGGTTTCTTGTCCATCCAGATGAACTCCCCCTCAATGTCCAGGTCCCGGAGGCCAATCCAGGAGCCCCTCTTGTTAGCGTGTTTGGTCAGGAAGTCCTGGGGAGCAGGACAGGGCAGGAGGGCTGGGGAGACGTGCCTGCGTCCCCCTCCCCAGCACCACCGCCACTGCCACGAGCATCATCCAGGAGGTGGGGGTGGGATCTGCAGATCTCCCACCAGCGCGCCCTCAGCGGAACCCAGGCCCACCTGCTCCTCCTGGCTGTGGATGCTGACCAGCCGTCCGTGCAAGTCGCTGCAGGCAAAGCGGGCCTGGATCCATTTCTTGGCGCCCTCGCCAAAGTAGTAACACTTCCTTTGGAAACTGACCCACTTCTCAGGGCACGTGTTGCACGTGGAGCCTGGGGTGGAGGAGAGGCTGAGGGGGGCGGCTGTGGTGGGCGCTGTGGCGGGTACCATGGTGGGCACTGTGGCGGGGGCCATGGTCAGCACTGTGGTGGGCACCGTGGCAGGGGCCGTGGCGGGCACTGTGGTGGGGGCTGTGGTCGGCACTGTGGTGGGCACCGTGGCAGGGGCTGTGGTGGGCATCGTGGCGGGCACCGTGGTGGGCAGCATGGGTACCATGGGCAGGGTGGGTGGCAGCATCTCTCCGGGGGCCTGGGCTGAAAGCAGATCCACCCCAGAGCCTGACAGAGAGTCCCCCAGGCTGCCGTCTTCCCCGGAGATTTGCTGCTGACCATGAAAGACCAGCTCCACCCCAGAAGCACCTCAACCGCCTACATCGTGAGCAGAACGTCAGGCACCGCAACCATAAACACCCCTTGGCCAGCAGCACTTCGACCACCAACAACACCATCACCATAAATACATTTGTGGCCTGCAACACCTTAGGCACCATCGGTCACCACACCACCAGCTCCACGGCCAGCAGCTCCCCAACCACCACTGTCAGTAACGCCTTGATCAGTAGCATCCCTGCGGATCCCCACGATGGCCAGCAACACCTCTCTACCACGACTCCACCTTAACCACGCCAGCCACATCTTAGTCACCAGCGCCCACAGCAGTGCTGACATCAAGAGAGCCAGCACCACCTCCCCCGTGACTGTCCCCACCAGCACCTCCTGTAGTATCCCTGGCCTCCACCATCGTGGCCAGCGCCCCCAGAAGCAGCGCTCTTGACCACTTTCTGGGAAACTGAAATGACTTCCTTCTAGTTGGTCAGGGGTGGGAGGAGACTAGAGGGCTGGGTACCCCCAACGGCCCCCATCAGGGGCCACCTTGTCTTTCTGTCCCCTCACCCCTTCCCCAAGGAAACTCAGGTCCTGTCACCAGCACCAGCACTCCCCATCGGGAGGTCAAACCCACTGCGGCTGCGTTGACTCACTCGTGACTTAAAGTAGATTTGCTTCGAGTGATGTTGGTGGAGGGCTCCTTGGCTTTGGGGGGATTTTTCTGAGGGGCCGGGGGTCTGCAGCAGTTTGAGAAACATCTCATATGTCAAAAAGTAGCCAGTGTGTGGCCCCCGGGGGGTGGGGTAGCATTAAAACACAAGGAGAGCATCGCTGGTCCCTTCAAGGAAACTTGGGGGATGGTGCCCTGGCTGGGTGTCATGTGGTCACTGTGACAGAGCCGGCAGAGCCGGGCTCAGACCCTGGGATGCGGGGCCAGACTTGGCGATGGGGAACTCAAGGACTGAGTGGGAATCAGAAGGTGACCTGTCCGAGTGAGCCCGATCCAGGCTCCCCCCCTCCCCAAGAGGAGCAAAGCGGGGTTTCTTGCTGGGATTCCCACGACCACACCAGGTCCCAGGAGACAGCACTCCTCCACACCAAGCAGAGATCCTTCCTCTTCTCTGACCTGGTTGGGGCAGCTGGGGCTTCCCAGGGGTGGAAGGTCAAAACTCAAGGGTGCGGCTAGGGTAGGGGGAGCGGGCAGGGACTTCAGGGCTGTAACACCCAAATTCCACTCCAGGTTAAAGGCACAGCAATTGACTATCTGCTCTTCTGCAGTCCGCTGGCCTGCTGGGGACACCCCCACAACCCTCGTAACTTGCCAGCATTGCCTCCATCAGTGCCACCCCTGGGGAAGACGCAGTGGTCCCCAGTGTCCCCACTGCTGCAGGGGTGACCCCCCCTCCGGCCCCCTGGCTGGGTCGGGCAATCCTCCGGGAGGGCTGTGGCCAAGGGCGTCCTCCCCAAGGCCGTCTGCTGAGCGGAGACGGCAGAGGAGAGATCAGGGAAGAGAACCCAGCGATGGTGGGACAGCTTTTACTCGGAGGAGAAAAAAGTGTGGGAGTCCCCTACCCAGGCCGGTGGAGGGGACTGTTGGAATCTGAAAGGGCTTACTCGTGTGGCCCCCGTCAGCCCTGACACACGCGTCAGCACAGATCCATCCACGTCGTCATGCACACACCTCTACTGCACATTGGAACACACCCGCGTTGTCACACGTGTGCACAACACCCCTGCCAGCACGGACGCACACACTCACCGTTGGACTCACGCAGCTCTACCCACAGCTTCTGTATCTCCTCCTGCAGTCTTTCCAGGGACTCCAAGGCCATGCGTCTCTCGTTCATATCTTGAGTGGTTGGGTTGTTGGTGGAGGGGCAGGAAGCAGGGACAAAGTGCTTTCACTTTGGGAGGCACAAGAGCAGGCATACCTCCCTGGCCCCCCCGCCTTCCCGCCGCCCCTCCCAAGGCTCACTCAGAGATTTCAGGTTGCTCAGATCAGCACGAAGACCATCCAGGTTCTGGAAGAGCTCAGACTCTGGTGGGGGGGGTGGGCAGGACTGGTGTCAGGGATGATGCCTGCGGGGCTGAGAGTCCCCCAGCCTGGCCCCCAGCTCCACAGCACCCCCATCCCCGCCCCAACTCTCACCCTGAGATTCCATTCTCTTCTGTTCAGCTTGGATCTTCTCCATGTTCTGCAACATCTGGGCAGCTGGTCGCAGGGGAGGGGCTCAGTGGGAGGCAAGTTCTCAGACTCGCCCCCACCAACCCCCCTTGGCCTGAGTCTTTAGGGTCAGCTGCTCACTGCGCAGTTTGTAGTGGTCTAGAGCCTGGTCCCATCTGCTCATCCATCCCCACCTCCTCTCCTTTCCCTGGACCCTGAGCTGAGCTCACTCACCCTGGGATTTCTGAGCCATCTCGTCACCCTTGTGTCTTTCCAAATCCTTGGAGACCTGAGTGACTGGGGCAGTGGGAGAGAAGGCACGTGTCCTTGGGAACCAGGAAGGCAGGTCCCTGAGTCCCCACGACACCAACCCCAAGTGCAGGTCCCCAGCTCACAGGGCCACGATGGCCACGGCTTTTGTTTTTAATTTCTGAGGCACAAGTATTTGTTTCATTGAGCAGATACTGCATTTTTTACAAATCGAAGGTTTGTGGCAACCAGGTGTTAAGCAAGTCTTTCAGCGCCATTTTTCCAACAGCAGTTGCTCCCTTTTGGTCTCTGTGTCACATTTTGGTAATTTTTGTAATGTCTCAAACTTTTTCATTATGATTATATCTGCTATGGTGATCAGTGATCAGCGATCTTTGATGTTACTCCTGAAATTGTTTCAGGGAACCATGAACCACGCCCATAGAAGACGCTGAACTTAATCAATGAAAGTTCCGGCACTTCCCCGTCTCCCTCCCTCCCTCGGGCCTCCCCAGTCCCCGAGACACAGCAGCATTGAAATTAGGCCAGTGAATAGCCCTACTGTGGCCTCTAAGTGTCCGAGTGAGAGGGAGAGTCGGACGTCTCTCACTTGAAATCAAAAGCTAAGTAAGAAGTGATGAAGCCGAGTGAGGAGGGCAGGCCCAAAGCCGAGAGAGGCTGAAGGCTGGGTCTCTTGCGCCAAGCAACCGAGTTGTGAAGGCAAGGGGAAAGTTCTTGAAGGAAGTTAAGAAGGCTGCTCCGGTAAAGACAGGAAGGCTAAGGAAGTGAAAAGCCTCAGAGTTGAGGTGGAGGAAGTTGGAGCGGTCTGGGCAGAAAGTCAAACCAGCCACAAAACTCCCTCAAGCCAAAGCCTCATCCGGAGCCAGGCCCAAACTCTCCTCTGTTCTTTGAAGGCTGAGAGAGGAGGGGAAGCTGCAGAAGAAAAGTGTGAAGCCAGCAGAGGTTGGTGCATAAGTTTTAAGGAAAGAAGCTGTCTCCGTAACAGGAAAGTCAAGGGGAAGCGGCAAGGGCTGACATTTACCTGATGATCATTCAGACGATCTAGCTAAGGTAATAAACAGAGGTGGCTACATAAACAAGAGATTTTTCACTGTAGAAGAAACAGCCTTCTATTATTGGAAGAAGATGCCATCGAGGGCATCCATAGCTAGAGAGAAGTCAGTGGCTGGCTTCCAAGCTTCACGGGACAGGCTGACTCTCTTGTTCGCGGCCAGTGCAGCCGGGGCCTTGCAGGTGAAGCCACTGCTCATTTACCTCCCCGAGTCCTAGCGCCCTTCAGAACGATGCTAAGTCTACTCTGCCCGAGCTCTATAAATAGAACAACAAAACCCGGAAGACAGCACATCTATTTCCAACACAGTTTACTGAATATTTTAAGCCCGAGATTGAGACCTGCTGCTCAGAAAAAAATTTCCTTTCAAAATATGACTGCTCATCGACCATGCACCTGGTCACCCCAGAGCCCTGACGGAGACGGACAGTGAGATTCTCGTGGCTTCCATGCCTGCTCACACGGCATCCATTCTGCAGCCCGGGGATCAAGGAGTCATTTCCACTTTCAAGTCTTATTCTTAAGAAAATTCTTAAGAAAGACGTTTCGTAAGGCTGTAGCTGCCACAGGTCATGATTCCTCTGATGGATCTGGGCAAAGTCATCCGAGAACCTTCTGGAAAGGGTTCACCATTCTAGATGCTACTAAGAACATTTGTGAGTCATGGGAAGAGGTCTGGATATCAGCATTAACAGGAACTGGGAAGAAGTTGATTCTAACCCTCATGGGTGACTTTGAGGGTTTCAAGACCTCAGTGGAGGAAGTCACTGCAGATGCAGAAGAAACAGCAAGAGAACTAGAATTCGAAGTGGAGCCTGCTTCTGGTTACCAAAAGGGATGGTGGGGGGAGAGATATACTAGGGGTTTGGGATTAACAGATACACACTACTATAAATACAAAATAGATAAACAACAAGGTCGTACTGTATAGCACAGGGAACTATATTCAATAGCTTGTAAAAACCTATCCTGAAAAAGACTATGAGAAAGCAGATATACGTATGTGTGTAACTGAGTCACTATGCTGCGCACCAGAAACTAACACAACGTTGCAAAGCCGCTATACTTTACTCTAAAAAAAAAAAGTGGAGCCTGAAGATGTGACCAAACAGCTGTCATCTCAGGATAAAACTCTAACAGATGAGGAGCTGCTTCTTAAGGGGGAGCAAAGACAGTGGTTTCTGGGGACAGAATCTATGCGTGGTGCAGACACTGTGCAGATTGTTGAAAACAACAACCACAGATTTCGAACAGCAGATACACTTTGCTGATGAAGCGGCAGCAGGGGCTGAGAGGGTGGACTCCAATTTTGAAAGAAGTTATATGGATAAGATGTTATAAAACAGCACTGCAAGCTACAGAGGAGTTGTTCATAAAAGGAAGAGTCCATCGATGTGGCAGACTTCATAGTTGTCTGATTTCAAGAAATTGCCGCAGCCACCCCAACCTTCAGCGACCATCCCCCTGGTCAGTCAGCCACCGCCAAGGCCAGACCCTCCGCCAGCAAACAGATTACCTCTTGCTGATCATGCTTAGCATCCTTTTTCTTAGTAATAAAGTATTTTAAAATTAAGATATGTACACTTTTTAGACTAATGCTATTGCACACAGTGTAACGTAAACATAACTTTTATATGTACTGGGAAACCAGAGTATTCGTGTGGCTCGCTTTTACTGAGATGCTGGCTTTATTCTGGACCAAACCTGCAATATCTCCGAGGTCTGCCTGTACTCGGGAAAGGGCAGGCAAGGATAGAATGAACGTGTGGACCCTTCCCTGACCCAGAATTAAACAGGAAAGCAGCAGGCATTTCTCAAAAGCTCACTGGACTCGATTCTGAAAGTCTTGGCTAAAATTCTGCCCATTTTACTGGCAAGGAAGCTGAGGCACGGAGCTTTTACATAACACCCCACTAGGCACCCCTCAGAGCCCTCGCCTCCAAGAGTCTCTGGGTTTTTATCCCCCGGAGGTGGGCACAGACTGACCCTCCACTCCTGGGGGGCAACTAGAGCCGGCTCCTCCCCCCGCAGCCCGCAGCACTGAGTGGCCGAGGCAGGACCACAGCCTAGGGTCTCACCCACCCTGCCCCTTGGTACCTCCGTACCGTTCCGGGCCGCATTCTCTTCCAGCTGTTTCAGATTTCGTAGAGTGTCCCAATCTGGGGAGGAGGGGAGAAGAGGAGGGGAGAGGAAGGATGTTTCAAGTGCCCTCATCCATCTACACCCCACCTGCCAGCTGGGGATGGAGGCCATGGGTACACCATGTGGGAGGTGCCTGAAGGATGGGTACTGGGCCAGGGCACAGGGCTCTCAAGGGTGGGTGGAACGGGCATGGGAAGGGGATGGTGGGGTCACGGTGGGAGACAGGATGGGGAAATTGGGCTCTGAGGGGTCTGTTGGGCTCCCCAGGATCTGAGGGTGGGGGGATCTGGGAGGGAACACAAGAGGGAGGCCATGTGGGGCTGGGGGTGTCCTCACGCCACAGGAGAAGCAGAGTCAGCAGCCCGGCCCACAGAGCTGCAGTCACCAGCCCCAACAGCGCCAGCTGTAACCCCTTCCTACAGCACCGCCGCCTTCTGGTAAATTTTGGGAAGTCTGTTGGGAGTTGGGGGAGTGACAAGGGGCGCGGTGTTAGGCTGGGCTCCAGCTCTGCCATCTTTCTGTCACCCACAGCCCCAGGGTCCTGGGAGCACGTCCAGAGCCCACGCTGAAGCAGAGGGTCTCAGTGGACCCCCAGCCTCCTCTGTACACTTTCCCCACATGCTGCTTTCATATCCATTAGCAACTCCCCCCCTTTGTCTGTCCATCTCTGCATCTGGGCACCTCTGAGTCTGTCCCTCTGCCCATCCAGCCCAACGTCAGCCGCTCCTTCTGCCCACATTCCAGTGGCCTGACTCAGGGCCAGGTCACTGTCCAGAGAGACGGGTCTGGGGCCAGGAGCTGAGATCCCTTCCCCACGGGCCTCCTCCTCAGGTGGCGGGCCCCTACCTAGCTCTCACCTGTGACCCTCCTCCCCCAGAAGGATTCAGTTACCCCACCCCCACCCAGTGCTGGGTCCCCAGCCCCACGTCTGGAAGAGTGGGTCCCCCTTCCCTCCTGACCCCAGCCCTCACCCTGATGCCTGTGCCCTGCTCTGAACTTCCCTAGACATGAGACGCTGGGTCTCAGACCTCCGTATCAGAGCTCTTCCCTCACTCCCACTCTGGGGTCCCCCAGGGCTCTACCTTGATGCCGCGGCCGGGCCCGGGCCCCCTCCCCTCAGCCTGGCCGTGAGGGGTCATCCTGCTGAATTCCCCTTGTTCTGAGTCCCCTTCCACGTGAGCTTCTCTCTACTGGGCTCCTAGTGCACCCATTGGAGCTGTTTTGTTGTCATGAGGGGGTTGAGTCAGGGAAGGGAGGGGCCCACTGCTTCCTTCGCCTGACTGGCTCTGTGCCAGGGAAGGCCAGTCTGGGCTCACCTCCCTCCCAGGCTGGGTTTTTGCTAGAAGTTTACTTTTCTTCCCAGAGAGGTTCCCAGGAGCCCTTCTCCTCTCCTGGGGGGAGGTAGGAGGTCAGGGCTCTTGCGTTTGCCAGAGTCGGCTTTAGACAGTTCTCTCACCTGAGAATGAACTTTCCTCCATGGCAGCGCTGCTTGGACTTTCCCAGGGACTCAGCACCTGTCAAGGCAGCTCGCTTGCCAGGCACAGTCGCCGCTCTGGCTGGGATCTGGGTTCTAACAAGGGTTGGGGTTAGAGTGAGACGTCAGGCCCTAGTTACCGGCACAGGACAGCATCTTGGACTTGAGGAGCTCAGTGGCCACTGGCCGGTTTTGTTTGGTCCACAGGTGGGAGGCAAGGTTGCAGTTAACTGGGGGATGCAGCTGGGGTGGAGGGTCAGAGGCCAGAGGTGGGCATCCCAGAGGCCATCACAGGTGAGGCATACAGCAGGTGCTCAATCAATGTGTGATCTTGGCAAGTAGCTGAACCTCAAAACCAATTTCTTCAGCCATAAAATGACAATATTAATAATACCTACACTGTAGTGCGATGGTCTGCTCTACATGAATGTCTGAAGTGCTTTGAACAAGGCCTGGGATATTGTAAGCACTCCCATATCATCAGGTCTTGTTAACTATTCCTGCCTGTACCACCTCCCCCAGGACTCAAACTTTCTGAGCCTCAGTATTCCCCTCTGTAAAATGGGGGTGATGATGGAACCCAAACCGTGAGGCCGGGGTAGGACCAAATGAGATTAGGATGTACATGAGGCTTTTTACGGAGCTACACACAGTGGGTCTTCAGATCCTCAATGTCTGTCAAGCATCTGCTCTGTGCCAGGTCAAGTGAGGAAATGCAGACTGTCACCCAGACCCCAGCTTCCTCCTCTGCGTCCTTAAAGTCTCTTGACTTTGAAATGCCTACTAGGTGCCATAGAGTGTGGGCTTTGGGGTCAGACAAGCCTTGGGGTCACCAACTGTCCTCCTGCTGGGTGACTATGGGCAAGTTGCTTGCCCTGTCTGAGTCTCAGAGAAATGGAGACGAGGGGCAGCCAGGCTCTGATTAACAGCAGCTCCAATCAGGTCCTTCGCCATTCTGAAGGAGGCCAGAGGTGTCATCATCCAGACACAGCTGAGCCCAAGCTGGGCAGACCTGGGGCTGAGTGCTAGCTTCTCCCTGGACAAGTGACTCAGTTTGCTCATCTGTAAACTGGGGGTGAGAGACTGTGCTGACTCCACAACGCAGAATGATGCAGTGTGCGAAGTCCTGGCATACAGTAGGTGCTCAGTAGATCTACAGGTGGGGTATTAGGTGAACTGAGGTACAGAGAGGGTAATTTGTTCATATCACTCCGTAGTGGGACTGGGACTTGAACCCATGATGTGAGAGCCTATCTGCTTCACCACTGGGGGACACGGCCTCCTGGTAGGTGTCTGCTGGTGAGGGCCAGGGCAGCAGTGTCCTGAAGCCCGCTCATCTTTCTAACGTGAGGGTTCCTGCCTCTGCTTGCAGCCTTCCATGGCTCTCCGGGGTCCTGCAGGATCAGCCCCCAGTGCATCCGCCAAGATCACCTTTTCTGCTCAGTCATGCCAATCGGCTGGCTTTCACTTCCCCAGACTAAGTCCCTGCACACCTGGCAATCCTGTCCATGCCTATCCACTGCCCGCCGCCCCTCTGTCCCGCAGACCTCCTCCTAGTCACCCCTCGAGACTCGGCCCAGAGGTCACTTCTTGCAGGAAGACTTTGATGTCTGCTTCCCATTGCCAGATCGCTCTTCTCTCTCTCTCTTTCTCTCTCTCTCTCTCTCTCTCTCTCACACCCTCTCACACACACACACATACAGAGTCACATGTGCACACACACTTACAAACCTACTCACACACAGTCACACACTCAGAGGCACAGACACACAGACACACAGCCATACCACATCACGCACTCACTTGAGTTTTGAGCAGGCCGCTCTTCTCCTGGTCCGCTGGGGCCAATTGGAGATGCCGGCAGGGGCCACAGGCTGCGGTGAGGAGTTGAACCCGGTGAGGCACTTTCTTATGAAAGTGGACTCACCCACCCGCTGCTTCTATTTTCACAGACCTAATTAAGGGCTTGCCACCTGGATAACCACGTTTCACACATGGCCTCCTTTGATGCTCCGCACAACCTGGTGAAGTCTGTGCCACGATTATCTCCATCTCTCAGGTGAACAAACAGGTTCAGAGACTCTAAGCCACCTTCCCAAAGTGGGGAAGGAGGTAAGTACTAGAGTCAGGATTTGAACTTAAGTGACTAAATAATTATGCTGCTGTGGCTGGGAAGAGTGGGGAGAGAGAGGAAAAGAAGGAAGGAGGGAGGAATTGAGGGAGAAAAGGAAAAGAAAGACACATCCTATAATTAACATTCTGGCCAAATACTGCCAATTTTGTTATATGGTCTAATTCAGTAGCAGCGCATGCTGGGTACCGGCCTTGGTGTCTGAGATGCATAGCACATGTAATGTTCCCAGCCACCCTATGAGGTAAATGCTTTTGTTACCGATGCTGTCTTGTGGAGGAAGGATATGAAGCACAGAGAGGTTAAGCAACTTCCCAAGATCACACAGCTCACAAATGACAGAGCCAGGATTTGAACCCAGGCAGCGTGGGTCCTGAGTCTGCAGCCCACACCCCTCTGCACCTCACCTTATATTGACAGAGACTTCTTGACACATCACACACCCTGCTCTTCCTCTCTCAGATGTGTCCCCTGATCCTTAACCCCCTCCCCGTTCTTAGTAGGGGACCTCCTAACGCCAAACTCCTGGATGGGCTGCCTCCCCACCTCAGGCTGGACTCTGCCTCTCAGGACTCTCTGACACTCCCTGGCATTCCGCCTCCCAGCCCGGGCTAGGTCAGGCTGCCCACCAAGCAGGGAGGGGGCTGGCTGGGTTGTCACCAGACTGTGCACTCCAGGGTAGCTGGTACTGCTGTTGCCTCATCTGCCCTGCTGTGTCCCCAGCTGGAGATGGGCAGCCCTCAGTACATGTCTGCTGAACGAAGGACCCTGGTGGGCTGAGGCTGTTTGCTCTGGACCCCCAAATGTCCTTCTCGACCTTGATTGGAGCTAATTGTGGGGCCCTGAACCCACTTCCTGGTTTGCCAAGTGCCAGAGGATGAGCAATTTAAGGAGGAGAGAGTCAGTCCTGGGGTCTGCTGGGAGCACAAAGACAGCGGGAGTCCTGGGGGTGGGGACCTGGCGGGACAATAGGGGGATGTCATCTGGTCCAGGAGCCAGAGGTGGCCTGAGACAGTGGCTGTGAAGTTGGAGAGAAGCAGGTAGGTTAGAGATGAGAGGACTGTGAGGATGGGAGAGGAGTGGGTGCTCAGAAGATGCTATGGAAGATGACTGGAGTGTCTGTGTGGACAGTGGGGCTGTCCTAGTGATGGGGATACAGGAAGGTGGAGGAGAAAGTTTTGGAACAAGTCCTGCTGGCCTGCAGTGAGGACATAGGACAAGGTTTCAGATGGAGGGTGGGGCTGTGATGGAGTCTGGTGTTTCAGAGCTTCTGAGGTCTCTGCGGGCCGCACCCCAGCCCCAGTCCACACTGGTGCCCACTGGCTCTTCGTGTCCTAAATGGGGCTCAAGGGCTCACATGGTGCTGGGTCCCTGCCAAGACTCAATTTAGACAAGAGGATGTTTTGGGGGTGAAGTCTCACCCCCCAATCTGGGTGCTGGGGGGACCCTGTCACAGATCGCTCCCTCCCTCTTCCCCTCTGCGGTATAACCCACATCTCTCACTGACTTTAGGGGATAAACAGGAAACCATGCGGATGTCAGCCACGACCCTAGGGTGTCGGTTCTTCTTTCGGGGTTGGAGATCCCTGAGCCTAGGGCTGCCCCTCAGTCATGGCCAGTCCTGGGTCCAGACTCTGTAGGAATGAGTCGGGGCTCTGCCAACGACCATAAACAGTTCCCAGGTGGGATGCCAGCCCAGCCCCAGCCCTGACCCTACTGGACCCCAATTCGTCCCCCTACCCCAGCCCACCCTCGGTGCCTCGCAGATCCGTTCCCCAGCGCTGTAACGCAGAGCCTCAGCACCTGGGACAGAGCCCGGCGCTCAAGGCAAACGTGATGCAAGAACCTCGCCACCCCACCTCTTCAGTCTCTCCCGGTGTTTCGAGGGGGAGAAAGGAAGGGTGCGTGACTGCGTGGTGGAAGAGGGCAGTGAGCGTGTCAAACCCGGGAGGGCTTCCAGGAGAAGGTGTCTCTAAATCTGGGTTTCTCATTTTCGGCACTGTGGACACTGGTGCAGGGTGATTTCCCCATCATGGGGGCGCTATCCTGTGCATTGTTGGGCGTTCAGCATCGTCCCTGGCCTCCGCTCCCTAGTTGCCTATCTTTTACCCCTCTCCCTTCCAAAAATGTCTCCAGACATCAGCAAATATCCTCTGGGGGGCAGAATCACCCCCAGTTGAGAACCACTGCTCTGAAGCATGATTTATAGCGGAGAAGGTGCTGGTTTCAGGCTTTCAACGCTCTTTTGCTGTTTCCCTCTGTCCGGATCTCTCTCACCATCTGCTGTCTACAGATCAATCACCTCTCCCCTCTTTCATTCACTCAACAACCATTCATTGAGTCCCTACTATGTGCAAACAAGATAAAGCCCCAACTCTCTAGAGAGAGGAAGACAAAGATTTTTGGTTATCATTGTAGTAAAAATATAAGTAACACAGAATTTCCCATTTTAATCATTTTCAATGGCAGTAAGTCCACTCTTGTGCAACCATCCCCACCATCCATCCCAGAAATTTCTCCTCTTCTCAAACTGAAACTCTGTCCCCGTTAAACGCTAAATCCCCACCCCCTCCCCCAGCCCCTGGCACCCATCATCCTACTTTCTGTCTCTTGGATTTGACTCCTCTAGGGACCTCCTGTGAGTGGAATCATACAATATTTGTCTTTTTGTGCCTGGCTTATTTCAGTGAGTGTAACGTC